GTATAGGTCAATAAATTCAGGTAAATTATTAGTTAATTTTTTTTGGTAATAAAATTACCAAATTTTGATACTAAAAAGTCTGTAGACTTGATAATAACAAGATGTAGTAAGAATTGGTCTGTCTAAAATTCCAATTCTGTTCCAATTATCAAAACAGCGCCATCTGCGGCGAAATATATAGTTCACACGGTAGACGCGTTCCTCTAGCACGTTAAGTGAGTTTAAATAGCTGATAGGCCTACACACTTTTAATTTGTTTGAATGTGAAAAAAATAATCACCTAAAATTGAACAATGGACACAGACGACCACTCAAAGTTAAGTTTATAATTTAATGTCGAAAATAAGTATTTACAGATAAGTTACATATGTATTAACAGCATCGTATCACCAATTTGAAAATAATAGGCTATATTATTTATACTATATTTTTTATTTAAAAATACTTTCATTTCACTTCGTAAGTTTAAAGTGTATACATAATAAATATATATATATTACAGCTCTGATATGCGTTTATAAATATGCTAAAAGTCAAAAAGTAGAGTAACAAAATTGGCAATACAATTATACAGTAGGCCTATTTATATTGTCAATTTAACATAAGAATATTTTTTTTAATCAGTTAATCTAAATAAGTATCATATTGAGTAAATAACATTTATTTTAAAAAGTGTTTTCTTCGTGTTGCGTCCGCCCTCTTTATATAAGTACAAGATTTAGATTAAAGACCCCTCCAAATAAAGATCACTTCCAATTCAAGACGACCTTTCTGCGGCCCCAACAGTGACTGTCTATCTTTTATGTATATAAGAATATTTTTTTCTAATCAAAGACCAAAGCTGTTAAAGACCATAAAAACACAAGTCCCAAAAGTAGGATTTAAATGGCGGGAGACCTTTAATTTGAATTTATCGTCTACACAATCCACCAGGTAGTATTGTATTGTATGGTGACGAAAGTGGCGGGAGTGAGGCCATGAGTGACATAGGTGGTAGTTTGTTACTGATAGTCTGATGAGAGGTAAACAGTCCCAGGCGTTGTCGTTGAATGGCATGATGATGCATCACTCTAGGATGTTGATGAAATTGGTGCAGTAAGGTCGCTTGATGACGATTAAAGGGCTGATGATTAAGATGTTGTGCCAAGGGTAATTGTGAAGCTGGGTTGAAAATTCGTTCGTCGAAGTTAACTTGAGGCGTCTGTACACCGTTGACGTGGGAATTTAAACAAGGTGGTAGGTTTTGATAATGAGCGCCAAAAGATGGTGTGCATAGACTAGACATTGATGGAAGGTTCTGTTCGTCGATTGACTGTAAGAATAAATATTGATATAAACGTTTAATCACCAAGCGTTATAACCTTTTTTTTTTGTTATTAAAAGTTAAGTACTCTAAATGCATAGTAAGTAATTCTATATCATAAGAGAATATATTTCCTATAACTGACAGAAATATAAGACCTATATGATTTGGTAAATACACAGATACATAACGATCGCTTTTGCTATGCTGCATGTGTTTGTTTTCAGTATTGCAACATAGTTATAAACGTATGATTTAATTTTGTTTCCGATATAATGCAATTTACCTCGTGCAATCAACTGAAATCCAGACTAAATATCAAGTTGCTTCAGTCTGTTCTGTAAAGGAAAGATCTTGGATCGTATCACTAGCATTGGGCCAGTTATTTTTTTCAGAACCATTATTATACCATGGACCTTAATAAGATTATTATTATTATTATTAATAGGTCCATGACCTATCTCCGCCTCAATGTAACTCAACAATTAAATGTTATTTAGATGTAATTCGGAGATAATTACTCATTGGGCTTTAATTCAATCCGTTTCTTTATGCCGGACCAACAACAGCAAACCTTAAAAAAGCTTTCAACAATACACGTAACCCAGATATTAAATGTTATTTAGATGTAATTCGGAGATAATTACTCTGGGCTTTTAATTCAATCCGTGTCTTTACGCTGGACAACAACAGCAAACCTTAAAAAGAGATTTCAACAAAACGCTATTCAATCAGACGTTCAAATATAAAGCCGTTACTTTTAAGGGGAACTGTATAGGTAATCACTGAAGCGTGTCTAGTTAATTTGGTTTTAATCCTTCCAATTCTTGACTGTTTCATTAGTTTCAACGAAGGCGGCTTCGACGGAATTGAGAGAAAATTAATTTGTAAGTTTGTTGTTCGAAGACAATGGACGTATACTTGACTAAGCATGAAACATAGACGATCACTAGCTAATTCTTTTAAGATGTTCCGACAACTTAAGTTCCATAATCGAAGATAGGGCTTCAGATGCTTGAGTTGTGATAGGAAGAATATTACTACGAAACAAACACTTAGGTAGCCTATTCATACAAGAGACTGTTTTCTTTTAAATTTCTTTTAAATAAAGAGATCAGAGACGCCTCTTATGCCGAGTTAATATTAGATTTACTTCTTCTGAACTAATTCAAGAGTTAAGAAATTGTGCAATCAATTCAATAATAGTGTTCTACTTTTTGCCCTAACTGAATGTGATTAGTGACCTGTAGTTTTACAATGATGGTTGTAGAGCAAAGCAGATTTGACTTCTTATTTAATTTACTTGAAGACGAAGCTTAAATAGTGCCGGTTTAGGGAACTAACATGAGACGGTATAATGTTGTTTGTACCCACCAGACGGGGTATATATATCTGGCTCTTATATTTTACATCTTATAAAGAGTTGTTAATCTATTAACTTTTAGCAAACCCCACCAGACAGGGTACTGTATATGTCTCTCTCCCTTATTTTACATCTTATAAAGAATTGTTAATCTATTAACTTTTAGCAAACCCATATGGAACATTGTTTTCACAAATAAATAATCATAAATATTAATACAGAGGAAAATTATAATTCTTTAGAAACGTGTTCGCATAAGTACACTGTGTGGGCATTATCAAGAAAGAATTGTGACTTTGTCTGTCAGTCCAACTGTTTTTCTATCCTGTCTAGCCTAGTTAAACTCCCAAGTGAGTCACAACTATCTGAGGAAGTTCACTTTGTAAATGAAAGTTTCCATTAATTTTTTTGAATTAAATTGTAAAGTGTATCTTTGTATATTAAAACTACCCATTTTCTCAATTAAATGTTACCTTTTTTAAAAAATTATTATTCATTTCATAATCTTATATACATAAATACATATACACTGTTATTAAATGTAATCTCGCCGTAGTGATTGTTGATGTATAACTGCTTTAATCATGTGCAAACCTATGTGATTTTATAATAACTATTTATTTTACGTTCTCACCTTCATAATTTCGGAAATCTTCAACTGAAATTTGTTTTCTTCACTGAATATCTGATCACCTATCACTCGCTGCTTTTTTGCCCCTGAAGAAAAATTCATCAACATCAAGGTTTCGAATGAAAGTTTATTTTGAAATTCAAATGAAATGTTAGGAGTTAACAGGTGTAACCTTTTAACCATACGCCGTGAAAACAATCATAAATTTGACAAATATCAATCACTGATGTGCAATTGTCAATATTGCGTATAGGGCGCCAATACTATGCGATATAACAACATAGCTTGCGTCCATGTTAGATTAGCGTTGAAGTAATAACGACGTTCAATATATGTTCCAATTTCGCCGAAGCTGATCCTAGTAATTGAGTTAATGAGCATAAAATCATGTTCAAAGTTGAGCCAAACTGAAAGAAACAGTTCCTTTAAGGTTAACTCCTAGCCAATTATGCAATGTATAGACACCTAACGGATCATCACAATGGTATCCCTCTCATGCCCACATTGTTTGGTGTGTTGATTAAAAATTCTCAAACAAAGGGTGGACATTTTGTAGCAGAGCCTCTTTGTGTTGCCCTCACTCTGTATTTCTCCGTCGAAACAAGTGCACAGTAAGAGGTAAAACCTAATTGGAATCATTTGATATGGGAACAACATTACAGACAGTAATATTGAACAATATTAATTTGTTTTGTCTGTCTATCTTAATACTATTTTTTATAAGAGGAAAACCATACAGTAGTATAATATAACTAATATATAAATTGAGCAGCATACTCACGATGTATAGTGTAGAACTCTTCATTTTTTTCTTGCTTGATATCCTCTTTCACAATCTCTCTCTTTCGTTTTGCTCCCACAGTGTTGCCCAAGATATCTTCAACTGTGAACGATTTTGTTACTTTGCTGTTCGGTTTCTTCTCCTCGGTAGTTGTCGTTGATTCTATAGAACTCGGATGATGTTCCTCATGTTTAACATCATCTTCTGTCTCTTTGCTTTCCTTTTTTATCTCGACCGATTTGCAGTCCTTTTCTACATTTTCATTTTTCTCGTCATTTGACATGCTGTTTCTTAGGATTCTGTTAATGGAACTAACACTTGGAAGACTGTCCTTACTACATATACCCTCAACGACCAGACGATCTCGGATCTCCCAGGCAAACATGGACGAATTCTCCTGCTTGAGCTCGACGATCTTATCAACTACGGCAGGCGTTGAAACTCTAGGCTTGCTACCACCAATTGCTCCTGGAAGAATGGAGCCCGTTTCGGCAAACCGACTCAATATCTTACTGACACAACCATGGGAGACTAGTAGTTGGCGAGAAATATCACACGGACGGAGTCCAAGATGAGCGAGTTCTAAGATACGATGACGTATGTGGATTGGCAATGGACGACCATTTGCAAAGACGCCACCGAGCTGGTTGACACCACCCTGACCTATAAGGAATTCGAAACATTGATTGTTAAATATAAAGGGAAAATAAGTTTATATGCCTCTTTACGAATATAATATATAGATTTTATTTAAATATAGGCCTATACAAGCGTATATGATTACAAGAGTTCTGAGATTGGACACTGCTAACAACACTAATACGTTCCTACTGAAACTACATGCCACAACTAATGAAACTGTCATAGTGGAAATAAAGTACAACGAACGTGTTAGGCGATTTCCCTTTTCCTGTCATTAGTATCTAAACAGGACTCATCCTTAAAAATATAGGTATGCCTACTAATGATAAGAACAATTAAAAAAATATAGGCATAATATTATATTGAACCAACGTCTAAAAGCGTTATCGTTTTGTGTCTCTCCATTTTTACAATAGATGAATAAAGAAAAATAGATACTTATATATTTAAGGTTTCTTAAAAGAGGATTAAAACACAACATTGATAGATCAGTTAAATTAAATAACTCTGATTCTCAGATAACGGATTGCTCATTAAAGTGCCCATTTATCGTCGTTCCTTAGCTGCCACACACTCAAATAATTAGTTATTCAAATCCTAGGAATATATAAAGAGCTTTCTACCCTGCCAATAGGTACCGTAATAGCGTACAACTTATTGGGCCTATAATATGTGTTCGCTGTACCGCGCTTTCACTAAAACTTGTGCTACCACTTTAAAGTAAGCCTCCAAAGGAAAAAAAAAACATATGTTGTACAATTGATTTTTCTCAGACCCAAAAATGGCGTTTGACGAAAATCTCGGAAATAGTTAATGATATACAGATTTTTGAATACTTAAAAACG